TTGCTCAGATGCATTAAAAATGCACTCAAACTCTGACGCACAAATTGCCAAGTGTCAAAATGGAACATTCGGAAGTCAGTAAGTGGAGTGCAGGTGTCAACAAAAGAGAACACGACCGTTTGACGTAGGGCAAACAAAAATGATTTCTGAAAAACCTGCCACACTCTTCTGCACGCACCGTCTTCCTCCCAAACTCTGAATATCCATTTTCTCCTCCTTCTCTCTAGAAAACTCTTCCTTCTCTATACTGAAACTCATCCTTTCTCTTCTCCGTTCATCATTCAGAAACCATATAAGTAATCCCGGCGTCGTGAACTTCTTGCTGGACCGAACAGTTTCAGAGTTTGAAGCTGGTAAGTTCTCGACCTTAGCCGTTCGTTTTTGGGTTACCTGCAAAACCAAGATTTGGTTGCATGCAGGGGTACAATCTAAATTCTTATGTATTTTTATGGTTAGACTTAGTTGGAGGAATTAAGAAAATCGTTGAGGGTAGAAAGCTGTAGTTGGATGAATCAAAATCTTACTCTTAGGACGTTCACCACTGATCCAGGTAAGGGAAGCTTATTTAATTTAATTGATATTCGTATGTTGTTTTCTGTATGAGCGTTCGTTATTGACTGAATGTATGTGGTGCATGCTGGTTGTTATGTATGATGATGGTTGATATGTATGAATGCGAATATGGATAATTATCGTGGAGCATGAATTGTTAATACGAATCCTATAAAGTATGTGAATTGATAATTGATATGAAATTATAAGATATGAACTATACGATAAATGTTGAGTTAGAAACAGATGAAAAATTGAAGACGAAATTCTCTCTAAGAAAATGTACGTACGTCATCGAATGGTTCTTTACTGTTCAGTTTCTCTAGTAAACTGTTAAAATTGGAATTCTTTCATTTGGAAAGAATTCTAGTTAAGGACGAACGCCCTCTTGTATTGGTGCTACGTTTGAGCATTCGGCTGAACGTAGATGCCCCGAGTGTTATGTGAGGAGTTGAGAAGCTTATAACTATACCTTTGGACACTTAGTCATTTCTAAATTCTATCTTCACCATCTCGTATCACCTGTATTTCTAATTCTATTATGAGTACACATCTGCGATGGGTCTCGACCCAAAGCGTTCGTTATGAGTGGCGCTAGGTCTTATACTGAACGCTCGTCCTAGTATTAAATTACAAAACGGGTGGAAATAGCATTCGTCCAAATTTCAGTAACTCCGTGTACCGCGTTCGGTCATTGACTGGTAGTCGGTTTCTATAATTGAATTGTTCTCGGTATGGTCATTTAATCGTCTTGAGGTGTCTCTATCCATTTGGATTCGACATAGAGCCTTTGTACCTAAATTATTATTGAGTATTGATCGGATCTTCTTAGAGTCATTTCATTCAACTGATTCAAGTGGTAAATGACGTTCGTCAAATATTAAATGTCGGTTTTATTTTTTCTGAAACGAGGATCTCTCGGTCTCGTTTTTAACGTTCGTCCTCATTATGAAGAGGGATGAACGCTCGTTATTTTATGAAATTGAAATGGAAGACGAAAATGAGATTAAAGTGAAGAATTATAAGGAATGAACAGTATATGAGATGAAATAATGCTTGTGGATTTTGAACGAGCGTTCTAGGGAGGAATGACTCATGTATGGATGAATATGGAATTTTGTAAAGTATGATTGTGGGCATGCTAATGCTGGCAGTTCATCCTGATGTTCCGTGAGTGCTCGTCCTCACGTAGAGGGGAGTATGTCATGTGTGGGAACGGCAGGAGGTCCTAGTCCTTAGGGGTACTTTGTATGGAAGGGACTAACCTCGGGTGGTAGCTGATGATAAATTCCAGTTACTACACCACCTGGGTGCACGAACGTCGTAGCTACACATAATTCATACAGTCCGGACAGTCAGTCTAGTATCAGGAATTGATTGAGTTAAAGAATTGAGTGAATTATATGTTGTGAATTATTCGATATGTTCGATGTGTTATGAAATGCATGTTATGACTTGAATTAAATTCAATAAGCTTACCCTTCGTTTTTCCTTGTGTTGTCTCGTCATTGTACGTCCGTCCTTGTCAATTGCAATGATCATCCGTGTGGATGTGAGCAGATGGAGAGACGTTGCTTGAGGAGACGCTTGAAGAAGGAATCTTGGAGGAAGAAAATCTCGTCGATGTTGAAGTGAAGGCCGAACAGTAGTACGTTCGGTTATCTGTTTAGTTTAGTTATATTAGCGTGCTGTATTAAAGCGACCCCCTTCCCTTTTTGCTTAATTTGATCGTTCGGTATTTCTATTTTGTAAAACGTTCGGTCAGGTATGCTCAGATTGTACACCTTTAATATTTGTATAGTTATGTAAGGCCGTTCGGCCACGAGCGTGCTTTATTTCTTTAATGTAAGACTGATTTGGTATATTAATATATGTGAATATTCTATTTGTATGGTTTATGATTGTATTTATGGAATGTTACAAATCTATTTTTCTATTATTCATATGAAATATGTGGGTGTTGACTCCGGACTTAATTGGAAACATGTCGAAATTTAATAAATAATTTTAACTCTGGAATAATTTGATTGTAATTTATAATTATTATAATTTTTAAAATAAAATTTACTTAAAATTATCGGAGAAACAACTATGTTTCTTCAAAATTATTTTAGAGAAAAAAAAAGTATAATAATCTCCACCATAAAGATATAATATTTATTGAAAAATAAATAACAGAGATATTCTTTATATACTTAAACCCTTAAATAAAAATAATAATATACTATGCAATATATTGAAAAAATCAAATTGGAAAGGGCGTCCGGGAGCTTGCAGTATCCGTCCTTGGATAGAAGGAAATTCATTTTATAATATGCAATATTAAATAATTATAATATTTATCCCAAAAGAATTATCTCGAATATAATTCGAAAATATTTATTTATGAAAATAACAATTTTGTTTTNAATTCATACAGTCCGGACAGTCAGTCTAGTATCAGGAATTGATTGAGTTAAAGAATTGAGTGAATTATATGTTGTGAATTATTCGATATGTTCGATGTGTTATGAAATGCATGTTATTACTTGAATTAAATTCAATAAGTTTACCCTTCGTTTTTCCTTGTGTTGTCTCGTCCTTGTACGTTCGTCCTTGTCAATTGCAATGATCATCCGTGTGGATGTGAGCAGATGGAGAGGCGTTGCTTGAGGAGACGCTTGAAGAAGGAATCTTGGAGGAAGAAAATCTCGTCGATGTTGAAGTGAAGGCCGAACAGTAGTACGTTCGGTTATCTGTTTAGTTTAGTTAGATTAAGAGTGTTGTATTAGAGCGACCCCTTCCCTTTTTGCTTAATTTGACCGTTCAGTATTTCTATTTTGTAAACCGTTCGGTCAGGTATGCTCAGATTGTACATCTTTAATATTTGTATAGTTATGTAAGGCCGTTCGGCCACGAGCGTGCTTTATTTCTTTAATGTAAGACTGATTTGGTATATTAATATATGTGAATATTCTATTTGTATGGTTTATGATTGTATTTATGGAATGTTACAAATCTATTTTTCTATTATTCATATGAAATATGTGGGTGTTGACTCCGGACTTAATTGGAAACATGTCGAAATTTAATAAATAATTTTAACTCTGGAATAATTTGATTGTAATTTATAATTATTATAATTTTTAAAATAAAATTTACTTAAAATTATCGGAGAAACAACTATGTTTCTTCAAAATTATTTTAGAGAAAAAAAAAGTATAATAATCTCCACCATAAAGATATAATATTTATTGAAAAATAAATAACAGAGATATTCTTTATATACTTAAACCCTTAAATAAAAATAATAATATACTATGCAATATATTGAAAAAATCAAATTGGAAAGGGCGTCCGGGAGCTTGCAGTATCCGTCCTTGGATAGAAGGAAATTCATTTTATAATATGCAATATTAAATAATTATAATATTTATCCCAAAAGAATTATCTCGAATATAATTCGAAAATATTTATTTATGAAAATAACAATTTTGTTTTACATAATAATTTATAGTTGAATGAACATATAACAAAATATTCATATTCGATATAATAATTTGTTAAATAATACACTTTTTTCGCTACTTTCTTTTCCATTTATCTTACAATGGTAGTTAATTGATTATCCGAGTATCATATCATATACGTGTGATCAATTAATAAGAGCGTGTGATTAAAGTGAATCAAGTATTATTAACTAAATAATTAATTAAAACTCATTGAAATGTAAATATTCAATGAGTATTTAATTTCTACAATAGTATCATTGTATCAACTTCTGTCAACTTTTAGAATCGTGGGAAGCCCTAATATATATTTTGTTATTTTCTCAAATGCCATCAACAAATTAACTGGCATAAGACATAAGAGTCTCAACCATTTAAATCTTTAAAATAAAGCTATTCTGTAACTTAATAAAGAAAATATATTTTTTAATCATTTTACCGCGTCTAGATAAAACGAATTAATTCTGCAATTAAAATTTTCTATTTTTTAGTCATTAAATTATACACATTCTAATTAAATTGTACAATAAGAGAACCATAGAAAGGCATCCGTATAGAATTTAATTAAAACATATATAATTATTTTATATTTTTATATAATTAGCTAACTTACTAATGCTGTCATATATAATCGTGTAAAATAACCTATTTGTGTTCAATCATAAATATATTAAGTTTCTAAATATTATATTAAAAAATTGAAAATTCAGTGTAAAAAATCATATATCCATATCAAATAATTAACTTTAATATAAATTTTAGCAGACTTGGCTTTTAGTCAGATTTATACTTTATGATTTTCATTAAAAAGGACACGCGTGGACGAATGTATTTTCAGTAGGTGTACACACGGTTTTATAAAATTTTAATATAAAGTTTCGTATATTTAAATTTTTAATTAGTAAGTGATTAAGAATAAGATATAAAAAAGAGTAATATTATCAATTAAAAATAGAAATATAGAAAAAGAAAAACATTAGACGTACCTTATGAATGGGCATGTAATGATCAGAAAGTGAGAGTAATTGGGTCCTCGTAGGCTACCCCACCACCATCTCCATCTATGCCATAAAACTCATACTCTTCTCTTCTCCTTTTTTATCGTCACGCCGTTTTCCATTACTCTCTTTCTCAACAAAAGACACTCACACACCAACCACTCCCACTCTCCAAATTCAATTCCCCGTTCCCTCCCAATTCCCAAACCCTAGCACCATGGATTCCCGCGACTCCTCCCCCCGCTCCCGCGACCCCGACGCCGACAACCACCACCACCACTCCTTCGACGAGCCCCCGCCATCCCTCCATTCCAAGGTCAAGCTCATGTGCAGCTACGGCGGCCGAATCCAGCCTCGCCCCCACGACAACCACCTTACCTACGTCGCCGGCGACACCAAGATCCTCGCCGTAGACCGCCACATCAAGCTCCCCGCCCTCCTCACCAAACTCTCCTCCCTCGCCAACGCCCCCGCCAATGATACCTTCTTCAAGTACCAGCTCCCCGGCGAGGACCTCGACGCTCTAATCTCCGTCACCAACGACGAAGACCTCCACCACATGATGCTCGAGTACGATCGCCTCTGCCGCACCTCGCCCAGACCCGCACGCCTCCGCCTCTTTCTGTTCTCGCTCCACAACAATAATAGCAACAACAGCAACATCAATTTCGCACTCACCGATCCCAAACCCGAGCGGCAGTGGTTCGTCGACGCTCTGAATTCCGTTCAGGTTCCGCTTGTCGAAGGTTCTTCGCCGCCGCATACGGCAGCGCCAAATCCAGATTTTCTCTTCGGATTGGATAAGCAGCCGTCGGCGGCTGCCAATGCTCCTACGAAGAATCCTTCGCCGGAAACGGAATGCATCTCCGAGGATCGTCCAGCGTTCAGAGATGCCGAAACCGAAACGGAACGCGCGCCCGAGTCCGAGATTCGGAGGTTGCAGATTGGTCACAATACTGAGCAGCAACTCCTGCAACGGAAGATGAAAATAGAGGAAGATAATAACGGTAGGGTTAACGGGGTTAACGGCGCGGACGGTTTCTCTCAAAAGAAGACGGAGAATGTGACGCCGTTAGTTACGCAAGGACAAATGCAGGCGCAAGGTTTTCATTCTGGAACGGTGTCGTTTTTGCAGGAGAGGAATAATATGGGCTATTCGCTGGCGGTTCCTTCGACCGGGAGTGAGATTTATCTCATTCAGACGCCTTCTGGAATCTTCCAAGCGGTTCGGCCCGTGACAGGACCGGTTGGGCAACCGGTTTATCTGGTTCCGGCGCCTAGTTCAGTTGGCGTGGCGGCGGAGCGTGGATATTCTGCGGGACAGGGAGGAGCGCGGTGGTGATGGGGGTGGAGCTGAGCGGAGAGAGAGGATGGGTTTAAAGGTGGTTTGATTTGTTGGTTTTGTCGCATAATGAGCGGTGGTTTTGGTTTCTCAATATTTTTTAGTTGTTTTGAAGATTGAATATTGAATATTTGGTTTGGAATTTGGAAATTGTTTCTTGTGCATAGGTGCGTTATAGTTGAAGGAATTGAGGAATTGTTTTTGAGAGTGTAACTACTTTCAAATCAGTATATTGCTTTTGGTGTCATAAGTGATTGATTGACTAATTGTCTCCCTTATTCCTGCACTCTTGTTCTCTCTCTATTCCATTTTTGTCGCTCATTATTTACTGTAAATATTTTATATTCTTTGTATAACCTTTTTAATGTTTATTACTAGAAATTATATTCTCGATTATATTTTCTATAAAACAGGGAATGTTTGGTTGGTACGAGAAAGGAGATTATTTCCATCAAATAATCTTCGTTTCTCCATAACTTTTTTTTTATAATTACTAATTTATATTGAAAAATAATTTATTCAATATTTATTATTTATTATTTTATATATAATAAAAACTAAATAAATAAAGACAGTTCCTTCGTAATTAAATTAGTAAAAATACATGTTATACCTATTTATATTACACGAAAATTCTTTTGTGATTACTTTTCTAATTATATATTATATATATATATATATATATATATATATATATATATTATGTTACTCATTTTATGTGAATATTAGTTTGTTATATTATTTTAAAAAAAACTATTTTGTAACATCCCAAAAATACAGTATAACATATAATAGAATGATTACATATAATAATATTACAGCTCAGTTCTTACAAAAGATAGGACGTACGTCCTAAGTAATTCTGACCGAACCTCCTAAGTAATTCTGACCGAACGGTTTACAAAAGCCTATACAAAACGGTCAAAATGAAAGCAAAGGGAAAAGGTGATCGAGCGTTCATCTTACTATCAGACTACTATTAACCGAACGGTTCTACGGCTCGGTCTTAACTTCTAACTCTACTAAGTTATATTCCTCCAGCGCCTCTTCCAATGCTTCTTCCAGCAACTCTTCTCCTTCTGCTCCCACCCACAGGGTGATCATCGCAATGACAAAGACGAAAGAACAAGAATACATGACAAGACAGGAAATAGGGTAAGCTTATGTAATTTAATTCATGTATAAACATACATTTCACACAATCAAACACACAAGATATATTTCATCATATGTTTCATGCAAAGCCTAATACTAGACTAACTGTCCGGACTGTATGAAATCTGTGTAGCTACAGACGTTCGTGCACCCGTGTGATGTAGTAATTGGGATACCCTCAACAGCTGCCACCCGAGGTTAATCCTATCTATCCAAATTAACCATAAGGACTAGGACCTCCTACCGTTCCCACACATGACTTACCCTCCTCTACGTGAGGACGAGTAATCACGGAACATCAAGATGAACCGTCAGCTTAGCATGCGTACATTCATACTTTACCAAATCCAATATACATTCATGAGTCATTCCTCCCCGGAACGCTCGTTCATAATCCAAAATATTTCATTCATATCATATTCTCTTCATCTTTCATTATCAATCATCTAAATTTCATCTTTCGTTATCAATCATCTCAATTTCATCTTGGTACAGAGATTATTAAAGACACCAAATACCGAACGTTCAATCTTAACTCAGAACGAGAACGAACACTTGGAACGAGACAGAGAGGTCTCCAGTTCCATAATAGATTAAGACCGAGAGGGTTAGTGTCGGTTTAAGAAAGAAACTGAGTACAACTATATATATCACAAGAACGACTAGAACGAACGTTACTTACAAAGTGAGCCAATTAGATGAACTGACTCTTGAGAGCCCCAACCCAACGCTAAAAAGACCATGCCAAGTACTAAGACTCTAGGCCGGAACCAATTGATACAAACACTTCAAGACATTCCAATAATAATACTTAGAAGAATTCACATGAAGAAACCGAACGCTGATAAATACTTAGTTTATTTGAATTTACATCAAGA